TGACTAGAGCCAGGCACCTGGTCTACTAACATAGCTCAGGTGACAAGCAGTAACCTAGAAATTCAGAGTCACAGCATGATTTTGCAAAAGCTTCTCTAAATAGTTGACCATCACTCATACAAAATTTGAATATTTGCTGAAATGTAACAGACACCAGCTGTTCTTTAGACTTAATAATTTAATATGACCTCAACACATCGCGGTTATCAAGAGCCTCATGTTTTCACAGCACCTCACTTTTTTTTTTCCCCCCCCAAATCTAGTAATGGACACATCAAATGTTTGAAATTGCTTATTTCAAACAATGCATCCATTGGGAAAAATGAAACTGCACGTACTGATTTGTTTGGAACAGACATCAGTGGAGAGGCAGCTCTAGTAGTTACGTGTGATGACAGTACAGGGGAAAGACTGAAGAAAATAACCACATTTGGAAATGACACACAAAGCGGAAAGATGCAAAAGAGATGAGTTTAAGCACTGGTTTTGGTTCTTGGGGTTTTTTTTGAGTTGCAATTTTTAGAAAGGGCTGGAGTAGCAAAAGAACACAGAAAAAAATGAAATAATATTTTTGTATTTTATGCTCCAATTGACCAAACCCTAATGTTTTAAATATGAGCACTATTCATAATTGTTACAGTGAATACTAGTAAGATACATGATTCTTTCTCCTCCACTATTCCATCTTCCATAGTGCTTAGAATGTAAGGTATTTAATGCAAGAACCAGTGGGCACAAGCTTTATCTTCTTTCCTCTAAGTTTAACAATACTTAGGTCATGAAAGTGCTGCTTTAAAAGTTTTTTTTTAATGTATCTCTCTGTATATGTATACATTTATGTATATACAGACACACACTTCTATTGTGTGTATATATATAATGTTTCTTAGAAAGCTCCCAAACACCTATCAGTTCAGCTTCCTAGATCTGGAATTTGATCAGACTAGTAACAACCTGTCAGCTTTAAATATTGGACTATTTGTTTCCCTGTGTCCAGTGCCTAAGATCTTGTTAATTACCCAAACTCTCTTTCCGTAGGTCTTGTTAATTACCCGTCTCCTGTCTCAGAGGACCTTGTTAATAACTTGTACAGTCCCTCTAAAAAGGTCCTAATAACACATTAAAATTAAAGATGCTTTTCTTTTAGCACTTGTCAAGTGGTGTAAATTGAGAAATTTTCACATCAGTTTATTAGCTTGCTGTAGTATATTTTCCCAAACACAAACAATTTCAGAGAAATGATGCACAAGGTTTGGTCGTGGCACAAAACAATCTTTGTTTTCCTGGAGCATCCTCAATTTCTTTAACTGTGTTCAAGACAAAAACCACGTGGCTCCTGACTGCAAATTAACCTCTTGAGAGCCATGACAATAGCAGTAATTGCAAGAATGAATGCAATTTAAGATAGTATTAGGTAAAAGTTTCAAAGCAGTGGATTAAGATATATGAAGACTAAACTATTATTGGTAAATGCTGGCTAAAAATACTAGACGTATTGTCTGCTCAAGAATTCTTCATTGACTGTATAATATAAATCCTCTGGAATGAACAGATTTTGTAAATTTGCAAGAACAGCGTTTCTTGTTTCACTATGAGGCTGCAGCATTTTAAAATTGTTAAGAAATCAGCTCATAAATATCTATATTACACCTACACCAGACAATACAAACCCCCCAATCTTAACACTTATGTAATACTGTATATACAAAACCCTTAAAAAAATACTTATTTATCCATGCAGCATTTGTAAGAGGTAACAAAACATCATCCCCATCAGGAGCAGGGAGACTAAGCGATTTAGCCAAAGCCACAGAACAAGCCTTTGCCAGAGCAGAGATCAATAGAAATTAGGGGTCCATATTTTGTGATTTCCTGATGACTAGTATTACACACAAACCAGGCAGGTTTTGTTTTGCTGTTCCAAAATACTTATTATACCTTCTTGAAATAACAATAATAAATAATGATAAAAATAAGTAATAATTTTCAAATAATTCTGGGATACTTCTTGCTTTTAGGAAAAAAAAATCCTGTAACTGTTGCTGAGCCACTTCTACATTTTCTGTATCAGCAGCTGAGAAACACGTGGAACATGTATTTTTCTTCATTCGTTTAATTAGTAAATAAGAGTAATTAGTGGCAGAGTATGAATACAGCCAGTTAGCACTTCAGGATTGGTTGAGTGAAGGGCTATTCAGCAACTCGCCTAGCCATCAGGTAGTGATGCTGCTACGAGCTGCTGTCCTGCACATCCTTACTGCTTAGTCAACGTTACCAAACACAACTAATTAGGATGGACCTGAGCCTGACCCAAAGCTCAAAGTCACTAAAAAGACTCCCACTAACTTTACAGATATAGGTTCATTGGTGCTAAGAAACCTGAACTTCACACTCTGCACACGAAGGAGTTGGGTTTGGTCAATTTTTTGAGGGTGGGGGAAGAGGGTTGCTGTGGGGTTTTTTTCTTCCACTTTGCACTATCTCCAGTCTGGTCCCATGGACTGAACACCCTTTTGTGTCTAGAAAGTGCTCCTGGAATACATCTTCCAGCTGAGTTTCATCAGACAGGAATCCAGTTCCTGGATGCCCTGGGACTGTTCCATCACTCAAACAGAGGCTTAGCTAAGTGGGGTGAACTGGGCAATCCACCTGCAAAGCAAACTCCTCATCCACACCAGAACACTGATTTTGGACACACTTAAAAAAAAGATAGTGCCTGGTTTACTTGTGGAAATGGTATCCATCCAGAAGAGCTTAATAGCACGTTGAGTAAATAAAAAGCAACTCCATGTCTAAATTCCCTGTGTATGCTTTCTGCATTCTGAATTTGTTACTTAATCTCATTTATTTTGGGCCCACAGATCTATACAATTCTTTCTTCACAGTATTACTAGTTTGAAAAATTAAAAATGGATTCTATTCAACAAATCCTCCACAGATAAAAGGTAAACTTAAACTGTAAACTTATCAAATATGCACATTTTGTATTAGTTTCTACTTCAAAAGAAAATCATTATAGAAAATACATTTGAAAGAAAGTGAACTTATTGTAAAAGATGCTCACAGAACACAGTACTGGAGCATATAAAAATCGAGAGCTTCCAACTTAAAACTATTGCATGCTAGATATTATTCCATAATAGCTGTCTTACAGAAAAGGTCAAAATGTTTACTATTTTTGGCTTTTTGAAAACAACAGAATATCTATTTGTCTTATCAAAAGTTTATGTTTACATAAAAGTCAAGAACTAGTAAAAGACTCATACAAAGAGGGGGAACAAATGACTAGAGTCCTTCTGAATGGGCACTGTGATGAGCTTTTTAATTACAAAATAAAGAAAAAAAAGTCCATCGTGGTACCGTTAAAGATTTATATTTATCAAGATCTGCTGCATTCAAGAACTTCAAAAGATTTCACTACTTATATCTAGCATCTGCCTGAATACATTTTTTCATTTTAAAAAAATTAAATGCTATGTAATTGTAATTGTTATTTAAATTACTTCTCTTTCAAGGAGCTTATTTAAATGGAAGTTTAACTTCTGACAAACGAAGCTACATCCTAACCTTACTCTAATCTAGAGAAATCCTTTATTAAATAAATAATACTCTAAGACTCTGTCTGTAAACATGTTATTTAAGACACTAGGAGCTGACTTGACTCATAGAAGACGCCAAGAAGATAATTCATTGAAGTCTGTATGAGCTTCTAGCCACCGAATCTTTTCTATAGCAGTGCCATTTCAGCTCCTTTATCTAATTCACATCCATGATTAGTTTTTCTGAGAAAATGATTATAAGTTTAAATCAGGAGTGCATGCAGTCTAACCTATGAATAAAACTGAGTTGGGATACAGTAAGATCAATCTGTTCTAAAAATCTTAAGAGCAAGATAACAAGAAACAAATTACTTTTTTTTTTTTTAAAGAAAATATTACTGTGTCATTAATTAAAGAATTAATTGATAGGGAAAAGGTAAATTTGTTAGAACCACGTTTTCCATTTAAAACAGTGATTTATTTCACAACCTTAAAACTTCAGTTTGGAACATTTTAATTTTAAATTCAATTTCTACCAAATTTATGTCATTAAACAGAAATGAATCATTACCTTGAAAAAAAAAGGACTGTTAACTTCTAGCATTAATATACATAAAAAATAGAATGCAAATGAATAAAAGTTAAATAAATAACTGCTATATATGTCTGTGTGTATATATATACTTTTTAAGACAGTATATTTTCCTCACTAGTAAATAAAAGTCAGAAAGGAAAGAAACTGTGGGATACAATTTTTTTTTAAAGGAAAACAAGTTAACTGTTGATATACAAAGATTAAAGCAGATTATTTAAATCAAAGTTTCTTACCAGCCCCTGTAACCTAATTCACTCTGCTTAGCACATAAACTGCTGCCTTGTGCAACGACTTGAATACATAGGAACTCAGCAAAGCTACAGTGAGGCAAACGCATTTAAGTGTGGCAAGTGCTCATGTGGGTGCTCCTATTTAGAAACAGAATGGTCTTCGGTTGTTGTGCTGTAACATATAGAATCTAAATCCATTTCTTTCCCAAATGGTGTCATCCACAGGATTTGTTTTCATTACTCACCTTTTCTTCACCCTTTTATTTATTCAGTTTCATCTTTCCCTTACACTGGAAACTCTTCTCTCTAAAACTGTGACTTAGGGCAGCGTAATAATTAGCAATGAGTGTTCAGTGAAAGCAGAAGACTTTCAGGAAGAACCTATTCTGAAGCACAGACGAGGTCTTCCACAAACACAAGTACCCAAGAACATTCACAGTACATATTAATAATATAAATGTAACTTCAAAATGAAGAAAAGATCAAACTATATAAAGAGTTTGTAACTTTTACTCAGAAACAGATAAGCAATGATATAAACGTATATAAAGCACAAAGATTGTGTTCCTCAACACTTCACATTTTCATTTATATAACATGTTCAAGATATCAGATCGAAATACAGCAAAAACCTACCTTGAAGATGGCAACATGCTTGTAGGCTTGAAGTTTGTCATAAACGGATTAGTGGAATCATAATCAAAACTCTCCTGATGAGTTTCACCAAACGTGCTAGGTGATTTCAAGTCAGTAGAACTGTCTGATCCCCCATTGCTAAGTTTATCTGACCTCTTGCTATCTTTTTTTCCAGTCACTCTTTCAAAAAGACTAACTTTCTCTTTTTTCTCTTTTTTAATTTCTTTTCTGATTTCAACAGGTTTGGAAAACAGACTTATGTTTTGATCCCATGTTGCTGGGCTTTCTTCAAACGGATTCTTCTGTCTTGGCAGTGTAGCAAATTTTTGGGGTAACGAAGCACTCACATTGGTAAATGGGTCATTTTGTGCTTCAAGTGCAGTTTCATCAGCTGTGCTGTCAAGCTGGTTCATTTTAGAAGTATCAACACTTAATGTCCTTCTATGTGGAGATTTTAGACTCCCTGCAAACAATCTGTCATTAGTATATTATCAATGAGACACTATATCATAGTTTATGACATGCAGAGAACCCATGTTAGCCTAGGTCTAGAAGCTTTGCAATTGAGTCTCAGTTCAAAACACTGCTAAGTAACTAAGTTATTTAAAAAAAAATTAACAGCTGTGGCCTTGACTTCATGGTTCAGAAATGTTTATGGATAGACACGACAGCAAATTTTGGTTTCCTGCGTGAAAACTTAGTTCTACAAAGAAGACAGCTATGACTAGTGTGCCACGCCAGAAAGCAACAGTTGCTGCATAATAACCTTGAAGAATGCAAAGTATTTTCAGTTCTTTATATAAATCAGTCTTAAAACTTTGGTGATAGTTTTCAACTTTTTAAACAGACTTTTATTTTTTCACAAGGCACTATTTTGCCTAGAGTTCACTCTAGAATGCAATGCTTCACTACAACACACTCTCAAATGAGGACATAAGAAGAAAAATGCTAAATTGCCATACGTTATGACCAATATAAGTTATTTATTATGCTCAGAAACTGCAATATGAGTTATCACCAACTAATGGAAGTGAAAAAAAAAAAAATAGGCCAGCAACAATTCTTAACTTTTTGGCCTTGTAATTGCTTCATAAACTAAAGAAACAGACTTTTGAGTGCTCTAATAGCAGCGAATTGTAATTATAATGGTCATGAGTTTTACTTACCACCTTCATCAACTGAACCAAAAGATTCAAGCTGACGCCTGAAAAGATGAGAGTAGCCAACTGTGCTGGATTTCATTTTTTCTGAGGAGACATGCGATCCCGTTAAATCTGACATCGAATGAGCCGATGATAGCCGCTGAGGTCCCAAAAGGAAAGGTTTTTTTGGTTTTGATTTCAATTGTACTTCGCCACTACATACCTCTACATTTGCATCAGGTATGTGAGTACTTGGGATGATTGCAGAGGATGTATCCGAAAATGTCCCATCGGTTTTTCGCCCCTTCATTTTGTCTTTTAGTTTAGCAAAAGGGGATTTGGTTTTGTCCTTCATTGACAAATCAAACATACTTGCTGTCATGTTATTCCTCATAAACTGAATATTGACCTTTATTTCTCCTCTGTCTTTACTTCTCTTCCCTTGTCTGGACTCTAGGTGAAACCACCTTAAGGGAGAAAAAGAGCAAGATCAGTTGTGTTTCTGGAGGCTAGTCATTAAACTCTGGTTAGCTGTTTAATGTACCTGCCTAGTATAATTTAAAATATGAAAACCAAATTCCATACCAAAAATTAAAAAATTCCTGTACTAAAAAGCTTTTTTGTCTATATTTGTTTTTGAAGAGAAAACTTAATAATTAAACAAGCACAAAGCTCGTTCACCTGTTTTGAGAACCAAAATCAACTCTGTGGAAGCTTACTGAACTTCACCAAAGCTAATGGGCTCACATCTGCTTATGAAGGAGAATTTGTATATAATGTTAATTATAAATGCATATACATTTTATTTTGCTATTTAAAAGAACACTTGATATTTTTCAAGTGGCCTTTATTTAGCAGTGATGTACATTACCTGAATGTATACTATATGTCAAATATTTCACCTAGTAACCTTTTCTCCTTTGATTTTGCTCAGGTTTATATGCTACCAAATTTTTTCCCCTCTGCCCCCTCCTTCTAACCACTGGTTAAGACTTATGTCAACTGCACTAGCAAAGAAGTATCCGAGACCCCTGAATAGTCAACCATCATTCCAGTACTGCAACCCCTACTAACATTGATGGTAAGTCCAGGGGCACCAATGGCAGAACAGCGAGTGGGTAGGTGTATCTAACAGCTGTCTCTTCTTTTGCAGTAGGATTAACTTCAGAAGTATTTCCACAGGCTTTGGAACCATGACATAAACCCCCACTCCTTGAAAAGAGATCAAAAGTGTGATAATCTGTTTCAAAAAGCCAAGTGTGCTTCTTTGCCAGGTCCAATAAGGGCTTTATCATTATCTGAGCATCTTACTCATTCCCTACTGTGCTCCATTGTCCCATGGAAGCATGTGTAGAACCATGGCTCAATCTTCCTTCACCTGAATGAATGACTGACAGACAATCCCTTCTCCACAATGCATCATCAATAGCCTTTTCCTATTTTGAAAAGGGCACAAGGGCATATTTCAGATCCACCAGCTCCAAAGAAGTGCTCTAAACCCACTGGTCAGGAGAAACGCATGCACACACGCTAATACAACAGTGCATTATCACAACAAAGTAACTTTTGAACTGGAGACTAAGAAATGAAATTGCCTATCAGCACAGATGCAAAATTGATCATGCAGTTATACATACATTATTCAATACTGCCAAATATAGAAAACAAGGTCAGGAAAGGAGAAAAATAACCTTCCATTTCCTTTCAGATTTCATAAATATTTTTAAAGGTGACAGCTGAAATCAAATTTTTAGGCAGAGATACTATTTCCTGAGTTGAGAAAATACTTCTAAAAAGTGACCTGCCAAAGAAATAGCAGAAGGATAAAGAGTATTATGACTTTTTTTTGTTGTTGCTTTGTGATGTCCAAAAGGTTTTATATCCCATACTGAACCAGAATAATCAAGAAATATCAGACCTCCTCTGTCCTGGCACTGGACAACACGAGTCCAGACCACTAGATCCAGAAATTCAAACTGGTAGGAGGACAATTAAACCTTTAGGAACAGAGTTTTTCTTCTGTTGTGAGGTAATTTCATTTATGCGTTTTAAACAAAATGCAAAACCTGAAATATGTTATGTGTCTGAAGAAGATGGATCGTTTTTCCTTTTAGTTAATAACATTTCACTTCTTGGTAACTGATTCCAGAAACACTTTAAGTCATCTATACAGTCATTACAGAAAAAAACCACACAACAGAACCAAGAGTAAATATTTTTTGTGATATATAATAATCACAAAAACTGGAAGACAAGATACCCTACTTTCTTTAAAACTCTTCTTTATAGGAAAATATGTTCACATATTCTCTTAAAAAAAAAAAATTCACAGCCATAATGAGCAAGCCCTTGCTCAGACAGATCTTGCCTGTGCACAAAAAAAAAAACCCCAAACCACCCTGAAATTGAGAAAGTCCTCCCCGTGATTCCTTAGGTAGACGCTAAGCATAAATATAAATAAGGCTTATGAGTGTTTGAAGAGGCTTAATAGGCAGAGAGGACCTCACTTTTTGACATTCATAGTTAATGGCTCAACCTACACTGTAGGAAAACGTATTCCCCTTCTCTCTCTTTACCTCCCCTCACAGGTCTCAACCATTAATACTGTACCTCTGATACGACTGCTGAATTTTCATGTTTCTACTTAGGAATTACCAAAACTTTAAACTGATGTATGAAACTTGCTAACTTGTTTTAGAACAATATCAAGACATAAATTCTTAAGCTTTTCCTGTGTGGAAGAAAGCCCTGTCTTTGAAAACTTAATTATTGACATTCTTATCATGAATCAACAACCCCTCTGTGTCACGACCAGTACTCACCAGCTAACAGCAGACCTCCGCATACTATTTTGACATTCACCAGGTCTGAAGGAGAGAATTCCAGCACACAACTAATACATGGCCTTTGCAGCTTGTACATTTGTTTTCAGAGTAGACTTTGAAGAACTTTACACTAAAAATAAGTTCAGCTAGGAAAACAAAGAAACTCTCCTTACCCTAGGAAGGTAACAGAATGGCATGAGGACTGGACCTCATACCTGCTGGGACCGGGTTCAACACTACTACTGATTCCAACAGAATTTAATCATAAACTCTTTACTCCAGCAAAATTCCTCTGGACTTCAGTGGAATTTCTATTTGAATAATGATTGCTGGATCAAGTCTTTGTATGAAAGACAGATATTTAATTTTCAGAGGCATTTCAAGGAGGTTTCTTTGTTACCTTGGAGAGTTTATCTTGTTTTAGTTATAATGAAGGTTCCATATGCTTCAGCTCATAACAAGACAATATGAGAAGCAGACTCAAATCATAATTTTCTTCAAATTCAAAGGCAAATAATTACTTTTTTAAACAGATGAGAACAAATGCAGGCAATGCATTTGTGTGGAGCAGCACGTGAATGACCAACTGAGTCTGTAAATGTTTCTTATTAGAATCTGTTTCTACAACACATGGGCGTGAGCAACAAATAGAAAAACCAGCACTGTATATAATAGAAAAAAGAATTGGAAAATGAAGTCCACTGTTTTCAGATAACGACATTTCGGTCCTAAAATACTAAATTCCACTATACCACTGCCAATTTAAAAAATTGTAATGTATTATAAAAGCCAATAAAACTTGCTATTTTGGTTTTGTTTACAGTACTTTTAGCCACAATAAATGCTCCACTTGTCAGGCTGCCATGAGCTTATTCTATAGAAAGCCTGTACAAAGTAGGAAAATAGCCAATAACACACACGAAAAAAACAGGGTGGCTTTTATGAGAGCAGATGCCCTTTTATTTAATAACCAAATATTACATCCAGTCTTGCAGACAGTCTTTATTTAAACAGACCTTGTACAAAGTCTGGCAAATTTTCCCAACTTCAAAGGAAGCCCTATTGCCTCCTGAATCACATTCATACTTCTTGCTCTCACCTTCAATTGTTCTGTAGGACAACATCCTCCATACACCCTCTAATTTTGACTTTTCCCCTATGCTTTCCACCAGAACAACCCCTGCTTCTTTTTCTCATCTGTTTTTGAGTGCGCTAATGGGCTTCACCTGTCTTGCACAGGTTTCTGATAATTTTTATTTTGTAACTGATATATAAATTGCCACTCTGTATGCTGATATTTTTTTTGAACATGTAGAGAAGATCAATATTCAAGTCTGAATAGGAAAAATCCTGCTGACCAGTCAGCCCTGAAAAACTAAACCCATATCTGAAGAAACACAGCTATTTTCTAACCATGACAAAATTACTCAATTTTGGCCATACCTACGAATATGGGCGGAAAAAGCAAACTCCCTTATTTCCAAGAAAGACAATAGCAACCTACTGCATACTATTAAAGTAAATTGTATGGTATTAGCAATACTGAACCCTTTATCTCAGTAAAGATAGACAGGAAGAGCAAACGAGAAAACTGAAACAAGTTACTATAAATGAGCAAGTTACAAAATTCTGGCCGGCCTATGTCATCTAAATAGATAGTGATCTACAAACATATATTTTCAACACAATTTCTTCAACTGTTCTTTTCCTCCCCTTTTTTGGATTTATTTTTTTTCCCTATTAACTTGGTTTTCCAACTCACATTTGCTTATCTACACTATTCTCATTGCACCCTTCATTCTGCATTCAGCAAGTATTTTGAAACCAGTATCTTGTTTCTCTTCTCCCAGTGAGATGATGTCATCGTGTCTTATCCTCCAAATCTGCCATGGAATTTGACAGTTTGAAGCCCTAGTCCTCTCTTGTCTTTGAAGAAGCATCTTTCAACCTATTGTGCTCACCATGTAACACTGAGCAGGATAGGCTCACAGTATGGGTAAGAAAAATAGTAACAGTATGGGTAAGCAAAACCACTATGTAATTTTAATTAATTACCTACTTAAAACTTTAACAGCCTCCAAAACCACTGGGATACAGGTCTACCAATTTCAACAGGAATTAGAAGTCTTCTAGCCAGCACATTCAACCTGTGCATGACAGATGACCCTCTGACTCTGTCTTCTTGCCAGTGCCGAAGATGGAAACTACAAAAGGAATTTTCCCACTCATTTTGCTGCTTCTCAAATATATCACTCTGCCTTCACTCTACCAGTAAATACATATTGAGCTCACCTAATTTTATTTTGCTGAAATCATTAGACTGCATGCAAAGATTTTTGCAAAATCTTGATTTTAATTCACAAATTACTGAAGGAATTCTGCAAAAAGCCACATAATCATCACAGCATCCACAAGGCTCCTAACCTTGATTTTACAGGTAAAATCAGCATCCCGATCTGCTGAGCAACTTTAATCTGCTACACAGTGATGAGGAGAATTTTCTACACCAGCAAGCACTTCTAAAACCACCCCTATAAAAGACCATCAAAATCCCAATGATAGAGCATGTCCATCAGCTGTGATGGGAAGTACTACTTCATCTCAGATTACTCTGTCCAAGCTAGATACACTAAAGAAACTTG